TATCATCCACAATCAGACGGTCTGGTGGAATGGTTTGTTCAGACATTCAAGGGGATGATTGCGAAGTATGTGAACTTTTAGCATTCGGATTGGGATGGTTATTTGCCATCTCTTCGGTATGCATATGTTACAGGGGTGCAAAGTTCTATTGGTGCTTCACCATATAAACTTCTATATGGTCATGATCCAATATTACCAATGGAGTTGGGTTTACCTTCGCGATTGCCACGAGCTGCAGATGCTAGATCATGGGATCGGTATTTAACGAGCATTCTTCCACTTGTTCGAGCAAAGTCTGCCGAACACTTAGGCTGCGTACAAGTGGGACAACAACGACATTACAACTCCCATCATCGTCCACCTATGGAGTACAAAGTGGATGATTTGGTGTTAGTTCGTTTTCCCCATCTTACAGTACGTGGTTTATCTAAGGGGCTTCTTGTGCAATGGAAAGGACCGTATTGGGTGTTGCGGCAAGTTGGACCACAAGTTTATGAGGTTCGGCATGACGTTCAGCAGGCCGATCCTCCAGAAATTGTGCATGTGCAATGGCTAAAACGTTTCGTACAAAGGGATCAAAAGGAGTTAATACCACCTACAAATCCACCGATGCCTCCTTTTTACATTCCTCCGGATCCCGGCCCATCTTCAAGAGAACCTTGATGGTCTTCCATTATCCCAAGAGGAGGGGATGATGTGAGGGCCAAGTGTACGGTTACGATGCCGTATACTAATATTAGCGTAATGGGATTTTGGTAGCCGTTCGATTGGTTTCAATTTGGACCACTCACTCTTGTATATAAGCTAAGGTTTTTGGGCTAATAAATATGCACATTTCTGTATTCCCTTTCCATATATATATATATATATATAAATAAGTGCTTGGAATATGGAAAGGGAATACAGAAATGTGCATATATATATCTGTGTGTGTGTATGTGTATGTGTATGTGTATGTGTATGTGTATGTATATGTATATGTATCTGTGTATATATTGTGTGTGTATGTATTACACTGGCTACATACTACATTAATTATAGTATTATAGCATATAGACCATTAAGGATTAAATCTAGTCCATCCACTCTTGTATATAAGTCTAAACCCCAATCAATATACTTATCTTGAGCACTCAAGCATAAAATGCAAAAATATTCATAAAGATATTATTGATATCAAGGAATTGCAAAAATAAAAATAATTTATTCTTTATATTGTAATGCACCTTATGTCTCTCCAATTGAAAAAGGGTATTATAACAATATACTAGCACTTGCCTAGCATATGCTGTGTAATTAGCAAAATACTGTTTTGATTTTTTAATATATTAAAAACTAAATTAGAATAGTATTGAAACAACAAATATTATATTCCACTTTAATTGAGAGAATTATGCCTAGAAAATGTTAGATGAATCAAAAATAAATTCTTGTAAACTTGATAATGTAACTATTTAGAACAAAATATATTCATTCATAAAAATATTATATACAAATTATTATTTAGAAATATGAATATATTTTAGAACAAATTGACAAATAAAAAATTAAAAACAAATAAAAGAGAATAATTAGTGTAAAAAATTAATTAATTATAAGTTTTACTCAAAATATAAAACAATAAGTTTTTAGGAACATTAATATATTACTACCCAGATCCAATCAAAAAAATAATTATTTGTAAATATATATAATAAATTCAAATCTTATATTCCATAGTATTATATACTATAAATTAGTAAAAATATTTTAAAATATTATTGTTTAATCAAATACTACATACATTATCGTAGTTTTTTCTGACAATTATAAATAACTAAGGCTACATATAAAAATATAATATGTAATTTTATTGTTAAAGCCCCCCACAGTTGTGATTTAGCCAAAAAATGATGTCTGTTTGAGAGAAACCCTAATCATCTAGTAATAAACCTTACATTTTAACTTCTAATATGGTTTCAACATTTTGATCTTTTGCACTTTTGATCTAATGTGGTTTATAATTAAAGTGACTACTTTTGAGTGAGGATAGGCAGATTCCTGTGCAAAATGCCTGTGAAAAATTAAGTTAGATTTGTGAGGTTCATGAGATTTGGGGAGTTCTCATCATGACTTATTTTTCACTCTTTGTTCTCAAGTAACGAACTTTGAACTACAGTCTATATTGCGGTGGGGGGGAGGCAGGGTTTCACTGTGAGTTAGTTCAACTTGGAATTTTTCTCACACCTCTTACTGCCATTTTCATCAGGATATACAGCAAAAAATAGGTCGGGAGATACAAAGTGTCTCCTTATTAACTGGAACTGGTTTCATTGGAATTCTTTGCAAGTTAAGACGCTTTTTCGACCGATTGTGTCTAAAAGGCCCCTGCCTCACGCTGTTCTTGAGTCACTAAAAGACATCAACGTTTGATGCAGGAGACATTTAATGGGAAAATGTTCTCGATCTTCAGCTGCATGCTCAAGTTCCTCCAGGAGCTCACCGCCATCCGGACTTCGAGAGCGCCCGGCTGGTAGTGACGGACATAGTGAACGCATCCAAAGTGTATTCCAGCTTCTTATCTTCAGTGGGAGCATCAGCAAATGATGATGATGAGAGGCAGATGATCGTCGTGGATGGCTGGCTGGAGTTTGAGGCCGTAGCTCGAATCGCTGTGCACATCAAGGAGAGTAGACGTGCTGCTACTAGAAAAGACCGATGGCTTCTAGTGTGGTAAGAAAAAGTTCCATGTAACTGATTTGGTTTCCTTTTGTTAGAGCTATGGCCCCAGTGACTCATGAAACTTTCCTATAGAGATTTTGGAAGCCACTTCCAATGCACGTAAGTAGAACCGTGCCTGTCGCCGGGTCAGGCTTGATACTAAACTGCACTCCCAAGAATTCTTTGATGTGTTGCAGCGTCTTGATACTGTAAGAAGAGAGCTTACCAACCCTGACTTTGGAAACATCTTCCAGGCACAGAGCACAGAGGATGAACAGCAAACCCTGTATGGCAAACAGGAAAGTTTGTGAGATTGCCTTCTTTCCTTTCCAGCTTCACAGATAGATACCTGGTGAGTTGAATCTACAACTCCTCCCAGATTTATCTCCTGTAGCAAGGACATGGCTGCTTGCGTCCCTAGGTCCTCTGGAAGCTGGAGCTCAGATGCTCCTGAATGCGTAGCCGCACACTCGAAGCTTAAAATGCAGCCGGTGGTCGTTTCTGCCACCAGTGAGATCCCATAGCCCGGAGATCTGTGCCATGACAAAGGAAGCAAGATGAAAAAAGTTTACTTTGCAGCACAAAATCATGGAACTTACTTCCCGGACTCCGAACCAGTGTAGTGATCAGTAAAGATGTACACGTTGGGGAGCAAGCGATTTAGCACGCCACATTCAATTGGCCATATGAGGTGAGACACATGTGGAGTAACTTACTCCTCAGATATGTTTCACCATGCCCTCATCCACCCATGTAGCAGCCTGGCGAAGGATTCTTAACGAGGAGAGAAAGAAAAGAAGAGGAGTTTGGAGAAACTACCGTGAGGCTCTTGGGGACAATGGGAACTTTGAGGATGACTTCACTACCACCAAAGGGAGGAGCTCCACGGGCAACAACCTTGAGTTCTAGGCCTTCAATTGGAACACCAAAGTGCTTAAGCATTTTGGCAGTGTTGCTGTGCGAAAGGTGTCGACGCAGGGGTCCCTGCTGTCATTTGTAATGCCTGTCACAGGCCACAAAGAATCCTAGTTAACAACCGAGAGACTTGGAAATCGAAACATGAAGAAGAAAGAAACAAGGAAGGAAAAGGAAAAAAACGATATGGATATGGAGGAAAACATACCTCTCAATGTGATCGAAAGCGGCTTCTTTCCAAACAATCCCAAGATGATGAGAGGCTCAAGAAAATATCCAATTCCGCGACTTACTGCACTTCCAGGCCACCACATCTTTCTTCTTCATCCCTTGGAACACACCAATTGCGCCTCGCAAGCTGCCACATGCAGCATACATGTCAATCAGTGCAGTAGACACGATCAAGCTCGAATCCCAGCTAGCAACAACGATTTGGGAGTGGATTTGCTTACCTACCGGAAGAAATCTTGATCCACAGCACGCTCCAAGGGCCGTGACGGACTTGATCCTGCCCAGAGTGACGCCGTGGAGCAGCAATCTCCAGTCAACACTTTGCATGTGCCACGTGTCGCTAGGCCTTCTTCTCCTACTTGGCCACCTCCCATTGGCGGGAGCAAACATTAGCATGATTATTCACTTGGTTAAAAAAATAACCCCTTTACAGTTACCCCCCATCAGATGGTTGTGATTAGCTAGATTCGACAACTCAGAAAGTTTGGCAACTCCTCCTTATTGTGATAGATGTGTACAAGAATGATTTATCATGCTTAAACCATAATAACAACTTACTATGTATTTTTCACTTCAATGGAGAGCTACATACCTCATACACAAGGCTAAAATTTTATGTGGCAAAAACAATGCGATAAAATGGCCTCTATATCATCGAGCATGGTTACGATCTGTGATTATGCCAGGAAAGGGCAATTGCCAGAAGCGAAACATGTTTTCGAAAGAATGCCTCAGCTAGATACTGCATGCTGTAATGCAATGCTCGCGGCTTATTCACGATACAGATTGCTAGATTTGGCCCATCAAACGTTTGAGAGCATACCTCAGCCGAATCTCATTTCATGGTCCACCATTATCTCTGCTTATGCCCAAGCTGGGCATCTTGATAGCGCCTGAGAACTGCTTTGCCTTATGCCTTTGCACAATCTTGTGCTGTGGACTGCGATGCTCGTGGCGCACGTTCGAGCCGGCTCGCTGTCTGTAGCAGAGAATATCTTTGACATGATGCTCGAAAGAGATCTTGCATGCTTCAATACTTTGCTTGCGGCATACGCCATGATCCGGCTCGCAAACCAGGCCGAGAGATTCCGCAATGGCCATGCCCAAAAGGTTTGGGAGAACATGCCCCAGAGGAATTAGTTTCCTGGAACACAATGCTGGGTCTCTACTTAGACTGCGGCAAATTAGATGCTGCCAAGCTCGTGTTTGAGAACATGCCGGAGGGGAATCTAGCCTCGTGGACTTCCATGGTCAGAGCATATGCCGAGGCCGGATACCCAGAATATGCCCAAAGTATCTTTCTACACGACCTCGTTTACTTGTCCACGACACTATATCTCTCCATGGCATCCGGTTAAATATTTTCTTTGCCTGATCTACGTGACCATTGTTACTATACGCAGCCAACCATAGTTGCCGCAGCTGCTCAGTATGGGTATTTGGAAGAATCCTTACGATTGCCGTACTGCATGCCGTATTGGAACACTTTGGCGTGCAATGCCGTGCTAGCAGCCTTGGCGAAAGCTAATAGAGTGCAGCAATTAGAAATTATGATCAATTATATTTTGGAAAAAGATATTGTAACGTGGAACATACTTTTGACTGCATATGCCACGAATGGGGATTTTGAGCGAGACATGGACCTTTTCACTTTTGCGTTCGAGAAAAATATGGTATCCTGGAATATTGTGGTATCGTTTCTTGCTTGCAGGGACCAATTGGAGGAAGCGAGAATCTATTTTGAAACTATGCCGGAGCAAAACACTGTACCATTATGCGCATTAATTTCTGCATACGCCCTAATGGGGCACCTAGACGAGGCAAGACAATTTTCCAGAGCTGCACATATTGAGAGCACTGAAATAAAAACAGCAATGTTCAGCGCGTTTGCGGAAAATGGATGTGTAGTAGAAGCCAAATATCTGTTTGAAAGTGGTACAAATCATGATTTGGTGTCGTGGACTGCTTTTATGACCGCATTTGCCCTTAATGGGCATTTTTGTCGTTGCGGGTCCTTGTTCTTGCGTATGCCCGAAAGGGACGTGGTTGCATGGACCACACTGCTTGCAGCTTACGCACAGAACGGCAGGTCCGACGAGGCACTATACGTTTTCCACTCCATGAACGCCATGGACGTGTCCGTGGATGGATGCTTTGGCTGTGCGCTCGTGGCATGCAGCCACGTTGGCAGCGTCTACGCGGCAAGATCTTGCTTCGTGTCGATAGAGATGGACTTCCATGTACAGCCCGTGAAGCTCCACTTTCGGTGCATGATCGATGTCTTGGGGAGAGCCGGGTATTTGCATTCTGCCCAGGAGCTGCTCAAAACCATGCCCTTCGAGCCCGAGACTGTGGACTGGAAGTGCCTCTTGGGGGCATGTAGGAGCTACAGATCCTCCGTTGAGTTTGGGAATTTCGTTGCCAAGAATGTCATTGACAAGGATCCGAGAGGAGCTACTGGTTATGTCCTTGCAGCCAACATGATGGTCTCCTAGTTCTAAGCAAGATCTCAAACTTCGACCATTTCGTCGTGATGGTTGTTCAATTGTTCATGGCTATCGATTCTCGGCAGCACGAAACTCTACGCCAACGTAACAAAGTCTACGGCATTAGCACGCCATTCACTCTTTCTTTAAGCTCTTTGTCGCGTGTGGCAACCAGTGTCTGGATCCCGGGGAGCGTCCAGTGCAGCACCCGGTTGCCAAAAAACATCCGGAGGAGACCCGAAACAAGAAGCTTGTCATTGGCGCTTACCTTGTGCGCCACCGGGAAGCTCAGAATGCTGCTCTCGTAGACCGTGCTGTCACAAACAATCGCTCCTACGAGCAGCAGTCTTCTCTTCTCAGTCACAGGCGAGAAGCTGCGTTCGATATCCTCGTTGTGCACAATCTTGTCGAAAACGAGCCTGGCGTTGAGTGCCCTGGCCGCCTCCTCGGTTCGCAGCCTCACTCGTTCCTCCAGCTCCACCAACAAGCTCTTCTTGTCTGGATAGCGCTGGAAGCTCTCCCAGAGGAGCTTGGCACTACCGCTTTTGATCGTCCCTTTGGATTCAAGCTGACGTCTGAATTCCTTGACGCTGCTGCTCGAGATCTTGTTTCCGGGCTTGCCAGGCTTGACCATCACGTAGCCGAGAGGATGGATCTCTGCACAGCCCCACCAGCCATCGCCGAGCACCAGGCAGTGGAGCCTGTTTGCCGACGAGTTCCTGATCGCTGCCCCCATGCCCGTCTGGCTCAGTGCCTGGTACATGCAGTCCGGCCACTTGGTTTCGTCCCTCCCGCCTTGCACCACCACAAGAACAGCGCTGGGAAGACTCTTGTCTAGCTTGAAATCGTGAGTGTGGCATTTGATCACGTCGTTAAGCTCCTGCTCGCAGCGAGCGGAGGTGGCTTTGGCTTTGTACTTCCGTGGTTCTCCGTCGATGAGCTCTCCGGGCTTTGGAGAGAATCGCGCGAGTAAGTTGGAGAGCAAAGCCGTGAGGAGCCATGCCCGCGTACTTCCTTTGAGACTGCCGTAAGCGCTGCCGTGCCTTTGGATCTCGAAAAGAAGCTCACCCAGGAGGAATTGTGACACCTCTTCGCTCACGAGGGCGCCATCGCCACCAAATTTCTTGACCCTCCCTTGCTCTACCTGGACCAGCGGCTGCTCCAGACTCAACACACTGCTAGGGTGTGGCTCCATCAAGTTTTTAGGATTCTTGCGGGCGGGAATCTCGGGGATGGTGTTTCGTTGGAGGTTGAGAACTCTAGCGTAATGAAGACACAAGAATCTTTGTCAATTTCGATTCGAAAGAGCATCGTTCACGCAGCAATCTTTGTAAAGAAGCTTCAATGTAGTGAAGTGAAAATCTAGAACAGTTTAAACTAGGAACCATTAAATTTACATAATGTGAAACACTGGAGTCTTGGTGAAAAACTCGGTGATCACCAAGGCGAGGAAGCCAAGCATCGCGGTTCGCCCATTCCAGCGCTCCGCCATGGCTCTAAATGGCCCAAACGATCTGCTGTCCGGGCTCTCGCCCTTAAACATGGGCACCAGCGACGCGTACGCGAATAGCTGTGCCACCGCCAGAAAATGGAAAAGACCAGTGCTCCCCGGCGAGTAGAGCTGCTCCGCCACCGTTTGTCCCGTCATTCGCTCCACTGCGAATGCCCACACCAATCCTACCATTGCCTGTTTGACAAGTTCACGTTAGTTACTTGGTTGATCTAGAAAAAAACGCGAAGAAAAATCACCAATCGCTTACCAGTCTTCCGTTGATCGTTTCCGGGCCGGCTCCATCGAACGCCATCAAGCTGGGGAACGATCGATCGCCAGTCTCTGGTCGCCTCTCGACCTCTGGCCTGGGATAGAAGGATCCGGACGATGGGACGGCTCCAAACACGGAGCGCTTCTCCGACTCGTTCTCGGCCTGGTTCTTGAGCACCTCCTCGCGGGTTATCTCCTTCTTGGTGCCGTCGAGAACGCCACTGATGCCGCCATCGCCACCATCCCTTGATTTGTTCGAGGACGCTCTTACTACTACTAGATTTCTTGTCCCGATGGAGCTTGTGGGCGATTGCGATTGGACATGGATTTTGTTGGAGATGAGCGAGGAAGAAGAGAGAGCTGCGATACCGCTGCCTGTGACGAGTGCCATTTTTTTGAGCTGGGAGCTAGCTAGAACAAAATTCAACAGTGCAACAATGAGCTACTTTCTTTGATGTTTGATGGCAAATGACACACAGCTATTTATACGGAGTGGGGATTGTATAACGTGGCAAAATTGACTTTCCATACGTGGCAAAATCGAGGTTTCGGCTCGTGTCCACTGTATGTGTCGCATCTTGTGCGGTGAAAATGGCCACAGGTAAAAGTTATTTGATTTTACAAGACAAAGTTCCTCTCTATACAGATGTGTTGGTTTAAAACTCACCCAGGCGTTTTGTCACGGGATCCTGTAGAGTAACCTGCAGCATGCAAGCTGCACTGCCGTCGTCGCGGGTCCTTGGTAAACCCGTTTTTT